AAAGTCACTTTTTACTCATTGTCCCAATTTAAGCGGATGGTCGCCTACATTATGAACATGCAATTCTATACGCTGTGGTGAATGTACTTTGACCTGCACCATCTGTAAACAGTGTGATCACATGACTTGACTTCTAGATACTGTGCTATCTAAATCACAGGAGCAAAGTGGTGCTGCTGTATAAAGGCTGCTGTGCTCAAACTTACGTCATTATTAGATGTTACAAAATGGCTTTATGTAATGCAAGAGACTTCATAACTTTTAACAGTATTTTTATTCTGGTACAAATTTGTGGGTGGGATATATTGGGCAGTACTAGGAGAGAGTGTTGCGCTTAAAATGGATGAGGTAAAATTAGGAAAAATGTGCAAGGACTCAGTGAATTTGTGAAATTTGAAAATGCTAATTAAGTTTTCTACCAAATTAATATTGAAAATGGAAGTTTGTTATCTTAACATTGTCACATTTTATCATTACAGAAAACCTATTAAAATGTCTATAGCGCTATTCTTATTTTAATTATAGAATCTTCAGTTTATCATGAGCAGATAATGAACCAAGAGGTAGCAAAACTTATGCCAAATAAAGTATTATGACACCGGGAGGGAAGAAGTAGTAAAATAGGATAACACATGGTAGTAACAGTAATGAAAGCAGTCGTTGTAGTGACAGTAAGATGAGTAAAGTTTTGGTGACTATTCTTTTGATTAATTGATTAGTTGCTTAGATTGCAAAAAGGGCCTGGAATATAGAATTTTTATAACTCTGACCAAAATGAAGCTAGATATGAAGCTGAAGATACCACTAGACAGAATATTTATAACAAAATTAGACTTTTCCTGTGTCAATTTGGGTTTATAAACACTCTTCAGTAAGCACATGGCAAGTTTTGGAATTTCTGTATACTGTAGTCAAGAAAAAAATAGACTGATTGTTGAAATAATTTTAACTTTGTAAACAATTATGAATCAATTAACTTGTTTCAGCCCTAAGTAATAGTGACAGCCTATTACACATAAAAAAAAGTGACCGCCTGTTGTAGTGGTTAGACTTGCCTGAGTTGTAGCAGCAGATTCTGGGAGCAGTTAAAGTATAAGTAACTATAACATGTACTACTATAGTAATAGTAGTATAGGGTTGGAGACCTAGGATATCCCCTAAAATGTGTTAAAAGTTTAGTAAAATTATTTGTTTTTTTATTAAGTAGAGTACCAAAATATATTGAAATTCCATGTTCAGAACGCCCTTAAAATCAATATACAATTGTCTTATGAATAAACCAGTTTTTCAGCCCAGCAGATTCAGATATAAAGCAGTAAGTAGCAGGTAACTCTACAATTCATTAATTAGCTATGTTGTTGAAATGTATCCCAATACGCATCTCCGTATCAATACACTTATTGTCAATTAGTCTGTATGTATATTTTGAGTACAGCCCTAGAGTACAAGCAGTAGTACTGGTAGCAGCAGTTGTAGTTGAGTAAGCAGAATATAAAAGAGCTCTAAGTACAAATTTGAGTGCGTTTCTGGTATGTGCTCTCTTCAGTACTCGACATGGGTCCTTTTGCCAAATATACCAGAACGTGAGAAAGCTGTTCTTGGTGCTTACTTTTGGCCGCAACACTTCCTCTCAGATTTAGTGAAACTGGCACTGCATGACTCTATATGAAACTACACTGTTGGTAAATAGCAGACAGGATTTCCCCATACATTGTACACACAAGTGGAATCCACACTGACAGTACTGTTAGTCAAATATCAGAGCAATGCAAGCACCAGCAAAAGTACAAACATGTCTTGCTCTAATATCACTTAGCTACACAATACACAACTTAATACCAGGTAATATAAATGACTATAACTGAAAAACCGAAAGTAATAGTAGTTCATTTAGCTTTACTGTCCCCCTTAGACTGGATTAAGTAAATCACGTTTGACCCTGTCTTGCACTGACTTTATGCTGTGTTTTGACAATACAGCAACCCTGAAACCTTTTGAAATCATGATTAGTGTAGAGCAGTGTAATAATGAAGAGATTGGGTCTTTTCAGTAGTAGCAGTAGCAGTAAAAGTTTATAGTTTCAGTGTTTATACAGGTTTATACTTACTGTAGACTTTGGTGGCATAAGTGATCCATATTTGATAACACAAGTATAAAGTATAATTTGTTCAACAATTTTTTTGCTCTGGTAGTTTTCAGACCAAAATATTTAAAATTAAACTATGGGAGGGTCACCATATTCTTTTCTATTAATGGGAAACACTGTTGTCTGGAGCAGCGTTCAGACTTTGGAGAATACAATTTGAGTATTTTTAGTTAAAAGGAAATGGTTAGTGTTGTCTTGTTTATGGAGTAAATATTGAAAGCCATACGTATTTGTAAATTATTGTTACTTGAATTATGTATTTGACTAAACTGGATCAACACAGGCTTAATTACCATTGTTCTCCTGAACCCCTCTCTCCCAACACCACCGCAGCAGAAGAACCACCAGTCACCTCAGCCTCTCCACCTCTTTGGCCTTTGAGATGAGACGTATAATCCCTCATTCGTCCAGGACTAGTTCAGTGTAGAGAAGGTTTAAAACGATGCTCATCTGTTCACTGTTTTTGCAATCAAGACGTTTCGGCTCTCATCCAGAAGCCATTTTCAGTTTGATGGTACTGGCTCAAAACACTAGGATTTATATGTAACTAAGTCCAGGCCCCAAGATAGGACTTTTAGAGTTTTTGGAGTAAAAGATACAACAAATCCATTATTCTCTTTTCATCACTGATGTCTGTACCATGGGGTCCATTCAAGTCCAAGTTAGTCCATTCAGTACACCAGTTGTACCTCGTTATGTTGCTTGTTTTCAATTTCCAGGTTGAAATATTCACGGCATCGAGACATGACCTTAATAATTAGCCTATATTATACCATTTTCTGATCTATGTTATAATGTTGTTTCCTCATCAAAAACATACCTAGAGTTGAGTTTTTTCATTCACACATGTTTAACTCTGAAGTCCTGCACATTTAGGTTGCTCTTCTCTCAAACAGAATACACACTCTGTTCCACTTTGTGATGTCATGTGGTAGTGCAGAAAGTACTCCACTGTGTTTTAAAACTCCATACACCTTTGCTACAATCATGGATGATTTCTTTCTGGAATTACCAATCTCTACTGAATTTAAAATAAAAAGAGCTGTTAACTTGAAAACTACCAATTCATGACATCACAAAGTGAAATGGAACATTTTGAGCTTTGGAGATGTAGAAAGACTGATAATAAAAGATTACCTGTCTTAAAGCTCACAAGAGTAAATTTTGTGTGTAATATAGGATCTTTAAGGGGTTAGGTTAAGATTAGAGGGTATTAACTGTTACTAAGCCTGAATGATTTTTAATTAACTATTTGCTCATTATGAATTAAGTTTGTGTTTATGCTTTATTAAGCCTATTTAAAGTGTACTTATTAAGCATTACTGAGTCAGACCTTTCTTACTCACTTTGACTGACAGGAATTTTGTCAACAACTCAACTTAGTACATTTTCAGAACACCCCACAGCACTTGAAAGACACCCACACAAAGTAAACCAAAACACAACTGAAAAGTCCCCATAGCAGAGTTTTGGAGTTTTGGTCTGATGTCATATAATCAACACACTTCAAAAATAATACTGATACATATTTATTCACTGGCTTACCCTTCTCTATTGCGCTATCAGCATGACGAAACTGGCACTTAATCGAAAATCCCACTCTAGTGTTAGGAGCTTAAGTGGAATTTCACCAGCCAACCTTCATAAACACAACACACTGAGCTGTTACTTCTATAAATAGCCCTGGCTTCACAAACAGCATTCTGGCTACTATTACACATCAACAAGCAGGCAAGCAGTAGAGGCAACCAAGAGCTCCCAGCCTGTCACATGCGCCTATGCATAACAGAAACAGAGCCCATATTGTCCATGCGTCATAAGGTTGCGCACAGAGACCCGCATTCATACTCATCGTGTCATTCCCAAGCTGTTTTTGGTCACTATTTTGCAACCCAGCGCTGTATTTGAAGAGGCAATATTATCTGCTAAGTCGCTTCACTACACACATGTAATTTTCGCCCACCAGCCTAATAGCCCACTCAGCCACTGACAGGAGTAATGACAGCTGTAGCAGCGAGGGACAATGAGTTCATATTAACATAAATGGAATGGAGTTTAAATAATGGGGAAAATTTACGATCCCCAAAGCACAACAGTGAAAATGTCAAAGTTGTAACAGAATAAGGGTGTGGATTAGGTGATGTTCCAGTGGGAGAGGGGAAAAAAGAGCAGAGAGGATCGTGTTGTGACTAACAGATGGAGAGATGGACACCCGTGGACGTGCGTGACTCTGAGGCCAAGGAGAAACTGCAAGGAGAGGGGACCGTTAGAATGATAGGTAGAAAGATGCTGCCCTCTGCTGGCGAATTAGTGCCAGTGACTTACAAGAGTGCATTTGAGGTAAAATGCAAAGGTTAGGGTTTAAGAGAACTGACAATTCTGATTAGTACTATTATTTATTCCTAGGTAATTTATTTTAGAAGGTTTTTCAGTACTGACAGCTGTATAATTCATGTCTTGTACAATTAAAGAAAAGTTGAAACTAATTTCTAATCTAATTCAGAAATCTAAGATATATCATATTTCTATGTTTACATGGTTATAGGTCCTGGCCAGCCCCGATGTACCTCTGTTACAAAAGGTATTATAAGGACTTTTCAGGACAAGTCAAAGTTAATGATTAAAATAATTCAAGTTCTGCCCATCTCAGCTGTATGTCTGTTAACAGTTTAATGACTGGCCACATATTTTCTCAACGGCCACAACAACGGATTGGAATTCAAGTGACTGGAAACTGCTGGGGGCAGGTTTGGCAAAAATATGTATACAGTGTTTATGATGGCAGGTTTCCAAGGTTACCCCAAGTGCAACTTTCCAGCCCGAGAGCAGCAAGTATTTTGACAGGTAGACATAATTAAGTATCAAGTTCAACATTATTTATTGTACAAAGTATGGAATCTTCTTGTACAAACATGTACAGTATAAAAGTTTTAAAAATACAAAAAACATGGTAAATAATACAGTACAATGAGATTTTAGCAATTATTTAGAATACATTAATTTTCTTTAATAAATCTTTTTTTCTGACTAAATTAATGTGTTATTTGTAAGCCCTCTCAAAGACTTTTGGTATTCCCAATTTTGGGTTTAATTTTTATTCATTCAAGTCCCCTTTTTGCACTTTTATAATAACAAACACAGCTGATAAAACAGCACCTTTGTATGAAAATATGAAATGTAGATAAATGTAACACGAGGCAAAGGAGCCTTTACAGTAAAATTAACAGATTTGACGTTACTTTAACATAAAAACAGGTTAACTATCGTACAAAATCCCATGCTGCCTTGAGGCTGGATTGTGCTACATAAACATTCAGGAAACAGTATTAATGTAATACCAAATATGGTGCTCTTGTGAATGATGTTATGTGTAATACATCTAATAAAGTCCAGCATGTAGTGCAAGAGTACCGTTGGGTTTGGGGTGTAGTGCTTTGGAAGTCCGTTGTGAGGGGTCGGTGATGCTGACAGCCTTAAGCACGTTTGAGCTTATCGATGTGGAAGGTGAGTTTGAGGGCAGGGCCGAGCTTTAAGCCCATGTATTTCATCATCATGTCACTGCGTAGCAAAAGAAGGGCGTTCCCATCAATCTCCTGCAGCAGACAGGAAAGGAGCCTTTTAAAGACATGCTCAGGAAGTTTACAAGGCTGACAACAACATTTAACAATGATAACTTTACTTTTGTCATTAACAGCCAAAGCATTTAGTAAATAAAGTAAATAAGAGATATAAAGCCACCCTTTTTCATAAATATACACTATAATGCTGCACTTGTGTTTGAGTTTTATGTAAGAAAAAAGGCTAATTAAACAGTAAAAATCTAAACATGCCAGAAATACAGCATACATACATGTTTCCTGAAGAGGTCAGCGTGTGGAGCCAGCACTGGGTCAATGTCCCTAATGTACTGCATCACCTCCTCCACTGTCCACACACTAGGGTCATGACCGCTGGACTTTGGGCTGTCCCTCAGGCTGCCTGAAGATCAAAAATAAAACAACTCCAATGGTTATGGCAAATATGAATAAATATAATCAGTATATATTTATTGATGCATTATAATTAATACAGTTATTTTATTCATATACCAAAACTAAACTAAATTAAACTAAATAATGGTTATAGCTTTAAAACATAAATATATGAACATTGATACTTTTGTTGGGATATCTTAGAGAAAAAGGAATAGTCCTAATTGCATAGTGGAGGTTTATAAAAAATATAGCAGTACTAAACTGCTCATTATTAGCTTTAGATTGTTTACCTGGTGAGTTGTGGAGTATGGAGGGCGACCTGAGGCCTGATGACTGAACCATGGAGTTTGGAGGACTCTTCTTCAAGTGCTCTGCTGTTCCGACACCATTTTCACTGAAAGATTCACCTATGACATAAAAGGTAATGGTGTAGGTAATATGCTTGTGTCTGTTATATATAATTATAATCTTTGACATCCATGGATCATTATGTTAGAATTACAATAATAATTTGTTAATTTGCTATTTAATTTTAAATCACAATATTCATCTAAAACAACTTAATAAAAAAGTCTGCTGACTTCTGCATTATTAAGCTATGGTGCCCAGTAGGAGCCAGCGTCACTGTAAACAACAAAGAGTCGGCACCTCTGATGGATAGCTGCAGAGAGCGGGTTTTGTTGTACCAAAATGACTACGCAATGCTGCCGAATTCTGTGTGTATCACCGATTAAGAAAATAAAACTGGAGAACAAAGTAAGTACAGAGCAGTGGGCACTGGGCGCACACCAGGGACGGTGAAAATGGCATATGATCATCAATATGGCGTCTTGAAAATAACTTATTAAAGATTGGTCAAATATGCACAAATCACTCCATACACAACTCTGAGAGGGGAAATAAGAAAAGGAAAAAGTATAGCATAGTTAAAAGCTCTGAAAAGCCAATTTTGCATGATAGGATGGCTTTAACAAATGTATATGGGGCGGAAAATCCCTGTCTGGAGGTTGTGATTAATATAGCTTCATGGTCCCATGAAGGTGTGACTAACTGAAAGAAGGCTAATGTGAGCTTATGACTTCAGTATTATTTGAAAGGGACATGTTTAACAGCACATGACAGATCACCTGCTATAGTTCCAACTAAGGCAGTTCTTTATGGTAAGTTTCTGTTTAAACAAAGCTTAGATTAACTTGATAAAAAGAGCATCAGACAGAGCGGTGCCTCCATTTTACCACCGCAACCTCTTACCCCTCCAAGAATGACATGAAAGAAACACATGAAAGGTATCAATATAGTCAGTTATACAGTAAAAGATGATTAAAACAACCCAAGCAATAACAAGTAAAGAAGTTTCAAAGCCAAAACAGCAGCCCATACTAAGTCAGTGACATGTGACTTACCATCAGTGGCGTGGCGGGAGATTTTGGCCAGCTTCTGAGGTACTGAGCTGTTATAGGTCTCCTGAAGAAAGCGCTTGTTGCCCCGATCTGGACCAGCCATAATACTGTTCCCAAATCCCCTTCTTTCTGTAACATTAAAAAAAATGCAACTGATAAAACAATATACAAATTGCTAATAACAAAAGTAATATGTCAACTTGTTGTGCCCAGTGCATCAAGGGAAATATAAAAAGCCTACTATAAGGCTTTATTAAAATATGTCATAGGTGTATCTTAATTGCATATCTTATCTTTAATTTATTCATTTGAAACAACTTAAAGGTGCACTGTTTAACTTTTGAGCTGACATCAAACAGATTTACCTTACATTTATTCAGTTATAGGTAGTTTTATGGCTCAAAAATACCTAGAAAAAGAGGCATGCTGACTGTGAGCGGGATTGCCTCCCCACAGATATGACTTGTAACTTGGTCTGGTTTGGTCACCATGAAAATAGAAAAGTTTAATGCCATACTGTGAAACAATCCAGACAAAGCAATAACATCTTCATGGAGAAAAGAATTTGATGGACCCTCCAACAGAAAAGTTACACAATGCACCTTTAAGAATAGAAACGGGTCTTTTTTTGCAAAACAGCAGAACTGACAACAGAACAGGCCCAGCTCTTCATAGTGCCATGTCTGTTAAGTTATGTTTTCCAGTGATCCCATATGTGAGATCTGGTGGGAGTAATGCAATGTTTAATTTAGAGTTCACACGATAAAGGTGGTTCTGTAGCACACTTGTTCACATATATGCTAACAAAATGGCAGTAAAAGTTATTGCTCTAAACTTGTATGTTTATTGTGTCAACAATGTCACTATAGCAAGCAGTGAATTTTGTTTGTTTTTATTGCTGAAAATCGCAATGTGAATTTTTTTGACCTTACACGTATGGCCCATGTCTAAATGTTTGCAATAACCAAGCACAGAAAAGAGGGTGGAGATACGGGGTAGATAAAACCTAAAATTTTCTGAGGTGATGATTACTCAAACATGCTCGAATCAATCAAAATACAGCATTAACTAAGCCAGGAGACTGGGAACAAAAAACAGCCCTGGACTTTTCCGTCAGAAATTGGCCTACGGTGGAAACTGAGGACAGTCATTCTGGACTTTTCCAAAATGCACAATTTGACAGTTAGCCCCTGAATCGAAGGCCACTGCACCGGCCCAAATTTGGTATGAGGTGGACCGGCCCACCAGGCATTTTTCCGGTAGTACAGATTACCAGTCCGAGCCTGAAGAAAGATAATGATGGGGGAAGGTTATAACTTGGATAAAAAAGTTCACTGAAGTAATTTTTATTAATTGATACTCTCCAGTGACATCACACAAAATGCACACATTAGCATTTGAAAACTTAAGAAAAATATACAAACATTATTTAAACAACACATTTTCAGGAGCTTGTATAGGTGTTTGATTTTCAGCAAAAAAGGTAATCATTACAAACTGAAAAAATTGTTTGAGTCAGGATAAGGACACTTATTTGTGAAGACTTGTGATCTGAGAGGTGCCTGTGTGAATGGTGAGTGTTACAAATATGTCGGTTTTTGATGCCACTTTTAGTTCTGTTTTCTTACACTGGCCTACTGTTAAGTGACTAGAGTGGCTCTATACATGTTACTGGATTTGCATTGATATGTAAATGAGCTGTGATTAGAGGTGTGAATGATCGGCCAATCTGTTCTTTTTGGTCAGATTGTGTTAAAACAAAACATAGATTCAAGTCTCAAACAGAAGGTGCTTACAGTTAGCATGCTGATGACATCAGCTGCAAAGTATCAATATGTAGCCTTTAAGTGACTGTCTGAGTGTCAGATGCATTTACAGTTTATCCAAATGGACTGACCTGTGGAGTAGGAGAGGCTGTTGTAGTGTGTGGATGCTCTGGCCACGGGCTGGTTTCCGAACAGAGGGTCACAGTGGAGGTTGTGGCACAGTTTCTCCAGGAAGCGCAGAACGTAGGTCACACTGCTGACTGTGGGCAGGGTCAGGGTGTGCTGCTGCTGCTCAAAGTAAGCTAACAGATAGACAGATCACATGTTAGCATTCCACATACATAAAGACTATCAGGGATTAGCATGGTAAGATTAATTGCAATCAACTGCAATTAATATAATGAATGCGTGTGTGTGAGTTGTGCTAAAATTAATAAGTATTTAAAGCTAAAGTGTGATGAGAGTGGGAAAATCTACACAAAATAAAAAAAACTACACAAATAAAATTAATCCTTCTGCAGAGAACACTTCTGTGTTTAGAAAAAGAGATGTCTGTGTCTCAGTGCTAATGCGAAAGCTAATTTTGAGGGGTAAGTAACAACACCACACATTCTAGTATTCTACACATAAAAACAATTGGGGTGTCTTGACTTTAATTCATTAGAATTTTAATAGGTTGTTTATTCTATATTTTACAGTTTTAATAAATAGCTCACTGTGTCTCATTTCGAGACACAGTGAGCTAGCTAGTGTGCTGCTATAAACAGAGCCAACTGACATATCACAACTACTGCTGTTAATAATATCCTCAACAAACAACAAAATATCCTGTCTGCGTATAACTGCTCACCCTCTAGTTTTGATCTGTACAAACATGTTTTGAAATATCATTATTGTATTAGTCTGTCAGTTCATATTTCTTTCTTTTTATCAGTTCTTCTGGGCGCAATTAAAATGTGAACTGTGAACAGAATCTTATTAATAAATTGCCAATCTAACCACAATCACAATGCTTGTCAAAGAAAATCACAGTTCAATATTTTTTCCAAAATGATGTAGACCTAATATTCAGATTCAGACAACTTTATTAACTGACCACTGACCGGACGTCCCTATTTATCTGGGAGAGTCCCAGTTTTGAGCCCTGTGTCCCCTGTCCCAGTAGATTTATTCAAAACCATTGATTATTTTTATACAGGAAATGTCCCAGTTGGCCCTATTTTTGACAAATTTGATCCCTGCCAACAGTAAAAAAAAGACATAAATTGTAATTTATTTAAGTAAAATACAGAAAAGGATATCCTTAAAAATTACCAAACACAAAGAAAATGTGACTACACTGACTCACATGTTAGTTATGAATGTGCTGAGTGCAGAACAGTTTTCTTTAATTACGCACTCGTTTCACAATTTTATTATTACCAACCGCTTCAAACTGGGGGTGTCCCAGTTTTTGATTTTGAAAATCTGGTTACTCTATTATTAAACCAACAGGGGCTTTTAGTTTGATACAGCTCCTTTGGCTCTGCTTAAACAGTTGAGAAACAGGACTACATTCATACCATACTCCATACAACTGTACCGCAACTCACCCTGTAACAGATAACCCTATGTCCTGTCAATCATTATTATTATTATTGTTTCCCCTTATGAACCTCTTGTATATAGCTGAGATATATTTGTATTGCTATATTTCAGTATTTCATTTTTACATACATTTATATAATTGTGTCTTATTTGACACCAGTCTCTTGCTATGTTTGGTCCTGATTTTGAATTTATTATTACCATTTATATTTTTGTCTAAGTTTGTCTAAGTCTAAATCAGCAGTAAAAAACATACAAAAACAACCATTCAAAACATGGAGCGATTCTGAACAAAGAGGAGGTCTAAGAAACAACCCTTAAAAAGACAATACATCTACACAGAATTTAAAAGGTGAATGACAATTGGAATAAAGTGAAGATGACCATGGTCTAAAATTCACCTGAAATGACCTCTCCTCCCTGTCCAGACTTGAGGCAGGAGAACACAGTGCGCTGGTTATGAGCAGAGTCCACACAGGCCTGGACACACTGCTGCAGGACTGAGGAGGCCCGGCCTGGTCCAAAGTGGTCAGGGAGCTGTTGAATCCTCCGCGGGTCTAAGTGAGGGCCCACTTTGCCGAACTTGTTCAAATACACGCAAACTAAACCAAAACAGCAACGTAGAAAGTTCAAATCTACTCACTTAAGAGTTTCTTCACATGTAAATTGGGTGTGCGCAGAATTTTCATGATGATCCGGTCACTGTAAAGATATTTTCTTGGTACATTTGATTTAAAGAACTATAACATGACATGAGCCTGCCCAGAGACTACTAATGGAAATTAGCACCAATGCTACAACGTGGTACAATGCAACTCTCCTGTTAAGGGTCAATGTATGTAACTGTATGTATGTGTGTGTGTGTGTGTGTGTGTGAGAAAGGCCTGTCACGATTACGATATCAATTTATTGGACAGATGGTGTCAATCGTTATCGTAGGTACTTGAGTGAGGAACATTTTGCTATATTTAAAGATGTACTATGTAACTCTTTGGGTGGGGGTCCGTCAACCTGCTTGTTTATATGGATATGTCATTACTATACCTGGAATGTTCCGCAGTATCACATTATACTGCTCTACTTTACATTTATTAAATTACAAGTGGTTTATAGCTCAAAAATACCTAGAAAATCAGACATTCTGACTGTGAGCAGGGTTGCCTCTCGAGCGATCAAACTGTAACTTGGTCTGGTTTGGTCTCCAGGTTTGATACCATATTGTGAAACATTCCAGACAAATAACATCTTCATGGAGAAAAGTATTTGATGGACCCTACACCAGAAAAGTTACACCATGCACCTTGAAGATTTTTAATATAACTTTTTTTCATATTACATACGTTTAAAACAGTTTTTTAAAAGATAATCCTACTTTAGGGTTATAATTTATAATCTAAATAAGTTTTAATATTATCATTTATCATCTATATTTTCAAATCATTGTGAAAATTGTGACAGGCCTAGTAACTAAATCCATCTTAGCTGAGCTGTACCTGTGGGGGCCTGTAGTGCAGACTTGGGGATGGTGGCGTTGTCCAGAGGCACAGTGCTGGTGTCAGGCTCCGGGGTGCTGCTGGTGGGAGATGTGGGAACTGGATTTGGTATCACACGAGGTTTCCTCTGGTGAGAAAAGTAAAGATGTAAATACATTGCATTTTATTTAATAGTGTGTTATCACTGCAATAAAAGTTTCAGATCAGCTTTTGAGGGCACTCAGAGATGGGTTTAAATACAAATAAACTATAAGTATATTAATATAATTTAATAGAAATAACTTTATTTATCTGACTCTAAAGAAATATAAATAACCAAAAAATATAGACAAATAAATTATAATCAATTGGCACAGGCTGTTATTTAGATGTCAAACTCAAAAAAACACAAATATATGGAAATCCTCCCTGGACATCATTAGCTCTGTGTGTTCAGTGATGGTGGTACCTTGCTTCCAGGTTTGGGGCCTCTTTTCTTTGGGATCTTGACTGCTAGTGCCTTAGCGTGGGCCTGAGCATGGGCCTGAGCGTGGGCCTGAACGTGGGCCTGAACGTGGGCCTGAGCGTGAGCCTGAGCATGGGCCTGAGCGTGGGCCTGCTGTAGAGCTATCCTATGGGCCCAGTTGGTGGGCAACCTGCCCCGTGGTCGCCCTGGGCCAACAGGCCGTCCTGGTCCAGCCAAGACATCTTCAAACCACGCTGCTCTTTTCGCCCATCCTAACTGCAAAGATAGATGTGACGAGCATAAAGTTAATGTTGACAAATAAAAGCTGAAAACGGCTGCACAACATACTTACCCTACTGCCCGGCTTTGGTCCTCGTTTCTTGGGGATCTTGACTGGCACCAGCTCTTTTCCTGTCTGTATGCTCTGTGGTCCCAGGAGAGTCCCCGTTATGTTGGCCTTTTTGCGTCCTGGTCTTCGCCCCCTCTGGCCTGGAGGTCTGCCCACTGACGGGCTGGGAGGCATAGCTGGACTGTCTACACTGCCGTCTGTAGGGGCTCCCAGGCTCTTCAGCAGCACTACTAGAATGGGGCACAGGACAGCTTAGACAAATACATTATGCAACATACCAGCTAAGCCAAAGCTACAAGCCTACACCTAACCATTAGTTATGGCTACCATTGGATTAGTTTGATCAAGAAGTTAATTTAATCATATTTCTGTGGGTGCAGTAGTAATATCCAGTTGTCCAGCAGAGTAGCTTATTTCAACCATTTGGTGTCAGTGACTTGGCAAGCCATTACCATTTTGACCCTACAAAAATGCTGGCAACCAGGAGGTGGTCTGAAATAAAAGGACAAAATACTTTAAAACAAAACCATCCTCTGCAGCTCATTACCAACTCGCTTTTACAATGTGGACTACATCAACATTATACTGGAGATGACTTCAAAGCAGAAGTTAACTTTGTCAGGCCTCAAAAACATGAGTCCTGGAGGTTTAACAATGAAAAATTGTTACCTTGAGTATTAAAATAATTGCTTAAAGGTGACTCACAGGTACAGAGGAAGCCCTTGTAATCACAACAACCATTTAGAAGCCACACTTTGTTTTTTCCTCTCAGCTGAGTGCACCGGGTTCACTGAGTTCACAAGACTGAGCTCCCTCACTCATATTACAGGAAGACAACTTGTTTTTCATTAATCATCCATGTTACGTTCCAGTATATGCATTTTTACTCACCACGTTGGCTGAAAAAGTCTAAAGTATGTTGTTGTGCTCAACGCTGTCCTCACGCTCACCTTCTTTTCCTGTCCTCTTTTCCACTCTTTCACTACTTTGCTCCTCCCTCCTTTTCTGTTCCTTTTCTCTCCACCTCCCACCATCTGCTGTGAGTGTAAACTGTCTAGCTTTGACGGTGTCTGTCTTTTCTCTCCATTCTCTCTCTGTTCTTAACTCATTTCAGTGTGAGATGTCTAAGCAGACACAGTAAGACTAGCTGCCAACAGGAGGCCTACAGCGGGGCACCCAGGCACTCAAACCACGTCATGCTTTACCCCAGCAAGTTGGGTGAGCGCCAGGCCTTCATAAAGTAACAGCACCCGGCAAGGCCCTGTCCTGTCTCCCATCAACAACCTTTTTCATCTCTCTCACACTTAAGACTTCTGTTTTCTTGTATCTAATAACATCTGCTTGTTTCCCAGTCTTCTTCAAAGGTCCTATATTACACAAAACTGATTCTTGTGAGTTTTAGCCAAGTCAGACCTGGAGTAGGATGTTTGAGTAACTTATTAGTATTAGTAGGTCTACATCTTTAAAGTTCAAAATGCACTGGTCCACAGTGGGATGTCATGAAGCAGTAGTTTTCAAGGCAAGAGCTACCTTTGACTTTTTGTTTAGTAGACACTGGAAATTCCAGGGCTGAAATAATCCAAACAATTCTAGTGAAGGTGAAGGTGTATGAAGTATGAAGTTTAAAAACACAGTGGAGATGTGGCGGCTGGTCAAAAGAGGGCACAAGTGTGCCACACTCTCTAACTTGACTTAGACAGAAAAGATGATAAAGTCCTTATTTTGTATTAGGCCATATGTTTCATATTTTGTTTAAAATGTAATGTGTATATGCATAGACATATTTTTATCATGTTCAGTGTGCTCATATCACTTTATTTGATTCATGCGTTTGCCCTTTGAGTGCTCTGGGTTAGAGTGAACTCAATGGTGTTCTATGGGAGAACCTGAAGTTTTGAGAAAATTTGACATCAAATCTGGTGCTGCTGCCCCTTATTTTACATTGCTGCCCTGAAGTATTTCTTGGGTGAGCAGTTCAGGGCGCACTCAAAACAACTGATTGATCTTCATAAACATTTATCACACACCTAACCTATTATGATTCAGCCTGCTAGCTATCCCTTGTCCAGCCCCAACTCTCCATTGGCGGCATCTTACTACTATAGGCTAATGAATGGATAACAACAGAGCTATGTGCTATACAGTTATGACAAGTTCAACTTCAAGTTAAAGTGTGATCGTCTGAGGAACAGCTGCACTCACTCGCTGCTGTATCCGCCTCTGCCCAATTGTTTCAGGGTGGAAAAGTTTCACCTGGGCGTAGCACGCTGAGGAAGCTAAGTCTACCTGGTGTCCTAGTCGTAATATGGAGTGGTCGTAACTTTCAGATTTAATTGGGAAGTAGGATTCAGACTAGTTTTAAAACCAGCTCGTGCACTTGGCTCCCAGACCTCACGTCACAGACCTGACTGGACCGGGACTTGGACCAGTTTCATCTCTTCATATTGAACAATAATACACTCTTGGAGACAGAGCCAACAGGACAGTGATTTGAGTATACACTCTGTTTCAGTCCTCTGGAGTATGTAAAATGATTGATGGTTGGACGGAGCTGCTCCGGTGTTCTGCCGTGTGAATTGTTGTATGCGTTCGCATTGTGACCTTAGCCTCTTATTAGTGTGGTTTTCCAGATGTTGTTGTTAGGGCTGGTTGTGAGTGGCAGATCAGGTTGTGTTGTTGTGATTGGTTGTTGGGGATGGTTGTGAGCAGTGTGTGAGATTGTGTTGTTGGGGCTGGTTGTGAGTGATGGATCAGGTTGTGCTGCTGCATAAACATTGCATTTGGATGTGCATTGTGCTCTGATTGTGATTACCAAACACAGTGCAAGTGTAGGACAGGGGACTGAAGAAATATAAGACAAATGATTTATATTCATTCCATATATAGTTCAGCCAATAGTAACCAAAATAAGTGCCTGTTTCTGGCATTTGATATAATACTATATAGCCTATATAAAATACATATATTTATATAACACCAGTGGAAGACGTTTTGTATTATTACATGACGTCACAAGGTGGGACAGAGTGCTTTCTGTTTGAGAGAAGGCCTCAGCCTAAATATGCAGGGCTTATGTGTTAATCGTGTGTAAACGAAACAAAAGACAACTCCAGGTATGTTTGCGATGAGGAAACAACATTATAACAGATCAGACAGTAGCGTAATATGGGCCCTTTAATCCCTTGGTTAACTTTTTTTCAAGTTTGTCATCAAGAGTAAGCAAACATGATCAAAAGGGCTGGGCTGGTGATAAATCGTGCTATATATGGGAATGATTGGCAATTTGAAATATTGTGAGATAAGACATACAGAGATGGCTGCCACTAAAGCTAGAAGGCAACTTAAATACTGACAAAAAGGGCTCTGCAGAAGTTAGAAGCTGTAATAATTAAAGATAGGTATACAACTATTTAAAAAGTCATTGTTAAGCAACCTTAGGTATATCATCCATTACCAGTATGTTGTTATCCCAAATTTAGATAATTTCATATCATGATAAACATTTAGGCCATATCACCCTGCTCTTATCATCAGCTTTTTTGCTGGTCTTTCTGTACAAATCAGTGCAATCTTGCACACTCACCTGAATACTAGCATTGTGCTCAAACAATCCCTCAAACCAGTTCTAAAACACCATTTTCTGATCAATGTTATAATGTTGTTGCCTCATTGCAAACATACCTGGAGTTGTCACATAAGCCCTGCATATTTAGGCTGAGCTCTTCTCTCAAACAGAAAGCACTCTGTTCCAACTTGTGATGTCATGTAATAATACAAAAAGCGCTTCACTGTGGCTGGTGGTATAATTTTTGGGAGATGCCAGTCTCTAACAAACTAAAAGTAAAAGGTTGCTGTTGACTTGAAAAACAATACTACATGACATCACAAGGTGGAACTGAGCATTTTGAGCTTTGGAGATGTAGCCAGACTGATAATAACTCAACTATATAATAACATGGCTTAAAGCTCACAATAGTCTATTTTGAGTAATATGGGACCTTTAAGACAAAGAGATGAAATTGCACATACATGTCATCCATGAATTTACCTTTTACTTTGTGCCATGTTTTAATAACCTAAAAACTGTTACACACCATACTGTGCAAGCCCCAGAGCTCAGAGGTAAATAAATACCTTTGGTGCCCGGTGGCTGAAGGTTGTCTCCAGTGAGCGCACACCAGCCCACAGGGAAGATGTCTCTCGAGTCGTAGCGGCAGTAATAGTCAAAAGCTCCTCTCCAGCCGTCAAAGGTGACCAGCACCTCTACGCCGCGCAGGGCACCCACAGTGGCAGGGCAGATGAAGTGTGGATTTTTACGGTCCACTGCTTCCAACTTCATGCCCACTTGGAACAAGTTCTGCTCTGGAGTGGGAGGCTCCTGCTGGACAACAGAGGGAAGGGCAAAGGGTTCAGGCATCATAGTTAACTGGCTTTATCCATATTTACCCACAATAATGAGCCTACTGTCTAAATTAACTAGCCAAAGTCAGTCATCACTAAACCCTATGGGGGTAGAAGTTAATAGCCTGTAAACATTGAGTAGGTACCTTGTGAAAAAGGCGAGAGGGCGCCATCTCAGCTCCATTTAGTGTTTTCAGAAGGAACATGGGCCAGGAAGAAGCATTCAGACGAAAGCCTGTGTATCGAGTGTTTAGATATCATTTAAGTGTATCCAGTATACTGGATTATTCAGACAACAAACTGGGGACCTAAGATGATTTAGTACTTATTAAACCAGGTTAAACATATAGAGGTCTATCTCTTTTATAAGGGTGACATAACCAAGAACTCTGCGTAAGTCACAAAATATTGGAATGTGGCTGGCCATTACCGAGGGGTGGCTGCAGCATGCCCCCACTTTTCTCACAGCTGCCGATTGGCTGGATCTCAGAGGAATCCGCCAGGCGCCAGAAGTCATTCTTGTTGTCAGACCCATCCAGTCGGAGGCGCAGGCGCGACCCTGTCAGACCCACTACTGTGGCAATACATGTGGACGTAGTGTTTCTCGGGTCCTGGGCTTCCAGCTTCATCCCTGCCTTGAACTCATTCACTGGAGGAGTTAGGCTCTGACAGATGGCAGAACAGTTGTGTTAGTGAAAGGTTTCACAATAACATAACGAAAGTAAGAAAACATGTAATATCATTCCTTACCTGTTTGAAATAGGAGGCAGGTGCAGCCATGGCACCTGTCTCTTTTAAGTATTTCTCCCAGCTGAAATGACCTTAAAAATATAAGTATAATCATTTGCATGTGTACTTCAAGCTATGATCTAAAACAGCAATATAATGTACAGCTGTGAAATAAATCATCATACTATCTATGTACTTGTGAAAATGCATAAATCTAACAGAAATATACCTTGATATTGTGGGGGCACCCGGGAGGGTCGTCCACTTCTGGTATGTTTAATTCTTCTGACATCTTGCCACTCTAAAGCTAGAAGAGGTGTGAAATTAAAGGATTTGCCACATACAAGGGAGAATACCCTATGAAGGGCTGTTTATTAGACAGTAATAAATTAGTATTCGCAAAAGTGTTACCTTTTAGTGGCACTGGCTTCTTCATGCTCCAGTAAGACTGACCAAGTTCACAACAACTCTGGCCCTCTCTCTGAGGCAACAATAAAAAAGAGGAGAACTTTCAGTGGCATGTGTTGTGAATACAAATTGTTCAGTTAACTTTTATCTTTTATAAATCAGTTTACACTTCATGAGTTATTTTAGCTCATAGCATGGTCAGTGAGAATTCTAAGACTTACTGCTATGCATTAATAAATAACTACAAAGTAATAAGTATAGTTGTGTACTTTTACACTAACACTTGGTCATTATTTTATATAGCCAGGAAATCATATATCACAAGCCAAATATCACTAAAATTATCACACATAAAAACAGCTGTCTTGAGTCACATTTCAAATTAACAGAACTAAACATTAAGGTTAAATACAACCGTAAATTTAACAAAAATATGGTAGAACTGACGTTTTGAACTAAAGAAAACGAGTGCGTCAGCCTTACTTAACATTTAGAAAAGAAACCATAAATACAAAAAGAGAGGCTGCTGTGTATCAAGTGCATGCTGATTCCGCTTAAAGTGAAGTTTGACAGAGCTATGTTGAGCAAACTAAAACAGAGAAACAAGCGTGCGTAAAGGCGCACCGTTATAATGGACATAAACAAGCTGTAAGACTATTGTTCACTGATTACAAATGATATATGCATACCTTAGACTTAGAGCTTCATAGCCACCTCAGAGGTTTTTATCCTGTCCGGCTGATTTCCTTTTCAACAGAAGTGCGCCTTTTTTCTCCGCCAAAGGGGGGTGGTGTCTGAATTAAAGCGACCCGCTCCTAGCTTTCAGTCTGCGGGAGAAGCCACGGGGACAGGGGACAGAGCCCATGTGTTGGCTGCCACTGAGAGGGACAAAGAGAAAATTTACCATAGTCCGGGTATCATCAACTAGTGACAAGGCTAGCTTGGATCAGACGCGCAGGCTTTTTAAGAAAGAGATTCATCCCATAGCGTGTTTAGAGCGAATCGTACACAAAGTCCACGCCTGTCCATGCTAACTCAACTGTGTACAAATGAACAAAAGCAGTCCTACAAGGACAAATAAAGAAAGCATCACAGCAGGTTACGGTGAGTTAAACTCTGATTGACGTGATGGAGCCACGCACTACTGTCACACACCATGCACAGTGCACAGATCATGCAAAGTCCTCACATCATGCTAAACGACATGCCCACTGCTGACAGAGCTAGCATGCTAGCTCAGTAGCTGCTTGTCCTCGAAACAAATCACTGTGGTAATGGAAGGAATTAAAAAAATATATATATAGAGGCTCTATGGCACATACATTCCTCTCTCGATATAGGTGGATATGGTTACCTTGGTGGTTTAATCGTGTATGTTTCAGACATTGTCCGCCATGTTTTGTACCCAATGAGGAGGGGGTGTTATGCCCACTGCCCGAGACTAAACAAGCCATAGACTGTATCTACGACTGAAGACCGGCCTTTGGCGACCCCTGGCGGCCACATGGAAAAGACTTCCTTGCCACTGGTTTTCAAAATCACATTGATTACTTACTGATTCAATTAAATAAAAAAGAAAAGAAAAGAGTAATACAGCCCTATTTACATTAAATACAGGTGCAAGACAAAAAGAAATGTATTAGCTCACATACATTGTTTTAAGTAACTCTGCTTTGCTTTGGAGCAGACTTGAACTTAGTGTCCAAAGAGGCTTTACACAGGCTGTATGTCTAACTTCAACTCACACTCATTCTTGTGCTTAAAGACCGCCTAAGTTGCTGCAATCTTGTGAGTGAAATCTATTTGGGAGAGACATATTCCACCAAACACTGAAATACAGTATTAGACTACATAATACACCTGGCAGTAACCTCTGAAAAGATAGTCTTTTGCCCATAAATTGTGTAGGTGTGAAAATTAGAAATGGGCCCATTTGGTAATGCCATGCCAATTAGATCTGGGTAGCAACTGTAACTATGTGATTTGGAAAAACACCCAGCGGTTCAATTGTGTGTAATGGTCACCTGGCAGCAGTGCTAATGCCCATTTCAGCCTACGCTGGGCAGACCATGGCCCAGTGGCCCCCTGCACCCCAGGCAATTATGTTTGGTTTCACACGGTGAAAAGGGTTAATTGGCAGCGCCCACGCGCCTGATTGGACCTGTTTCACGCCTGTCGGCCTTCATCGCATCAAAGGAAGCCCCAGTCCACCAGGCACCATTATTAGTGCGCTCACAAACACACACACACACATACACCTCACAGCCAGCAACTGTACAAGGGCACCGTACCTAAATGGGCTTTTTCACAATTGTATTCGCAGCATGACTATACTTTTTTAAATTAATATATATATATATATATAGTTTTTTAGAAAATAAAAACGTGCTTAGGTATAGGTAGTATGCAGATACTATACAATTTAAAGAAAACGCATAGAATCCATCATTCATCGTTAAATTAAACATGCCTTTTTGTGACAACATTGTACGCGCATTCTGACAAATTCTCCTTCATGCCACAAGGGGTCAGTGTTGATATATAAAAAGCCCAGACTGTCCTGCCACTCACTTTCAACTTCTCCACATTCACGTCATTATAATGCATTCATGATTTCCTCCGAATGCAGCACAGTACTTATGCTGCTTATTATCCATCCATTCACCGTCCTCTTAAAGCCCTCAAACTTTTATTCTATTCAAATAATGAGCACTACTTTTCAACTTTTTTTTTTTTTTTTCCTTTCATGAAATTCTAGGCTGGCTCATTCTGTTTGCTCTCTGCGAGTCAGACCCACGTGCTGCTGTGGTGAGCCTGTATATTCTGTGTGGCAGTTTGTTTTTGCAGGGTGTCTCACTGTGGTCACACTTTTAAATAAGGATTTAACCACAGCGCTACCAGCAGCCAAGACTGACCATCAACTATTGTACAATCCACTTAGAGAGGCAAAAAACAAAAAGCCATCCAGACTTTATAAATCATATTACTTAAAATTGCAAAAGCAGTAATTATGCAGTATTGTCTTAATATTTCACTGGTGGAAAGTAAGACAGATTTTCATGCAGTCTTAAACAATATTTTGCAGGATACTCCAGATATCCAAGCGCATACAAATCAGCACTTCAAAGAGGTAAATATTGAAAATGTACCATACGCAGCCTGCAACTCTATGATAAATACAAATATGTAAAAAGGTAGGCATCGCTGATAAGAAAGGCAAGATAAACCACGTCTGATTCTCCCTAAGAGTTGAGATGCTCTCGGAAAGGGCTGGCTAAAAGCTTATGCTACACTCCGGGTAATACATGCAAATCAATTTATACAAACTGCAGAGCTTGATTCGCAGATGCAAATGCCTTTGATAGCTGTCATCAGAAGGAATTTCAAAGGTAATTTTCTGTTATCTTGTTAGTGGAGATTCACAGCCACACATTTAAAGCTATAAAATGCACTAAAATTTTTTAGATCCATCTATTGTGGCTGTGCAAAAGGGAGATCTCACATTAGTTCTTTCTGGCAGTCCTGTCTAGTCCTGGTTTGTTGGGTTTGTTGTCTCTGCTCTTTTCGTTTTATCACTCTAATTGAATCTGGCTCAAGTTGCTGGCAAAACTGTTTTTTGGATCTTCAGATTTGATGCTGGAGGTGTCCACTATGAGCCAATAGAAGCGCTTCACTGCCACTGGGCTTTTTCAGCATTAGACAAGACAGCAGGGATGTTCTATCGGCACTTTCACTCCTGATGCACTCCCATCAAAGTGGCCACGCAGGCTACACACATGTACAGGTGAATATAGAAATGCAATAGTTAGCATTAAGTAAAGGTAGTCTATAGCTGCATGAGGACTACTACTCAGTCTACTATGTGCCCTCTATACTGCTACTTATAATAACTAATACACTATTGCTGCTACTACTATTACCACTTCTACTACTGCTGCTATGTGCATTTAAAATTACTCTTTCATCCATAATATAAAGGATTCTATGTAGTCTACATATTTCATTCATAGCAATCCAGCCCTAAAGTTGCACTGTGCAACTTTTCTGGTAGAGCATCTGCTATCTGCTTGTCTCCATGGAGATGTCATTGCTTTCCCTGGAATGTTTCATGGTATGGCATTAAATGTATCCATGGATTTTTTGAGCCTGTATCTGGTATTTGTCGTACTGCTGTTGCCAATAACTAATATTTCAAAATGACTTTTAAATCCCCACAAACCTATGACAAGTTAGACTAAAGTTCACAAATGTATTGTATTTATTTGGGATGTAAAATCATTTGTTGTATGATTCTGTAAGTAAGCCTAATTCTATTTCCATTTTAACTCATTGTTCAAAAAGACTAATTTACCTGGTCCTTTTCCGTAACTTTTCAATATCACACTCATTCCGATATCTGGGACCCCCTTCAAACTCACATTTGCCGATATTGGAAAAATATATATATTACACATCTCTGCTTTCAAACATGTAGCTCTATCACAACAAACAGACAGTGATTTTGAAAATGCATGTTCAATTTTGCTTCTGAGGATGCCAAAAGCCCTTCTTCACAGAGGGACAGTCTCCTTTCTGACGCCCATCTCCTCCCAGCCACAGAGCCTGGGCATATGTCGCGTATAGACATGTGTCGAGGGGGGAAATTTCACTTTCCATGTTGTCTTACAAGCTCTGACGGCAACAGCGCTCATGAAAAAAAGAAGGCATTTTTTCGTCCAATTTATTAATCCTTTTAGGCAATGTTCTCTGTTCAGAAATGCAAATTGAATCAATCTGAGGCTGACTTTAAGACTTTTCAAGTGGGATTTAATTAGAAGCCGGGGCCTGCAGTTTTTAATGAGAGAGGGGGTGGAGAGACGGAGAAAGAGAAAGAGAGGCATGGGGAGGGAGAGTGGGTTTTTGCGGTTTTGATCTGGGGGTCCTGCTGGAGAAGGGATGCACAAACAAGCACCACACACACAAATGAACATTTTGACACACACATATTGCACCCTGTAGAGCCAAGTATGAGGCGGATGCACGCTGCTTGCTTTTTCTTGACTTCCTTCATATATCTTTTTTCCTTTTTTTCTTCTAGTGAGAGTTGAAGCAGAGATGGTGTTGCTTCTGTGTACATCACAGGCCTTGACACCAGCAGTATAGAGGGGGTTGGAAGTGGACAAAAGGACTGTACAGGTTAGAAGTAAAACACCCAAGGCAAGACTAGACAACAAAACTGCCAGACTGGCCATAAGGTAAGATATATGTTAAACAATGTTGTGACAAAATGTACTAGAAGGTACAGTATATGAAGATGTGGGGTTTGCCATTTCTAGAAAGACACATTATTTTAAGTTGGTGATACTTGAAACACCCAGGAGAAGTCAAAAAGCATTGTAATGATTATGGCAATATGTATAAATAGTATTGTTCTTTGTAGTTTTTGGATTATAAACTGTGATTGTCATACTCTTAGATAAGATATAAGAGCCACATTGTGTGGGAATTAATGTAAGTAAAATCTCCAAATGTTGAATTTGACAGATTCTGTTAATGTCTATGCCCTTTATATAAAACCCGGCAACAGTCATTTTACCCATAACTCATTTTTGCTAAATATTATTGGGCTATATAATGATGTAATTTGAAACCCAGCAATATGCGAAGTGTATAAATCAACTTTCCCCTTTATTATTTTCCAAAAGGGAAACTGGTGTGCAGCAGTGTCAGACATACAATAGGCATACAGTATAATGCAATAATATATTTAATCACAGTTTAAGCTCAGCTCACGCTCAAAGATGCAGAAATACATCCCCTTTTAAAAAATAGGCAAAAAAAGAACAGGAAATGTAACCACATTTAACCACAACTGATCCAAACTCTAATAGAGCATTCATCCTGGTTATGACTTCAGAAATAAAGGAAGTCCTAAATGGTTAATAAGCAGAAGTTTATACAAAAAGAGCTTCTATAAAAGCAACAAAACAATTATGTTGATGATGTTACTGTGTGTGTTGTTTCAATAACACACACTTGTCATATAGTAATTTTTTGGCTAAACTT